GTATAAAATTGAATATTTACCTATTGAAGTTACCTGCTGACAGATTTTCTGGGCCTGCAAAGTTCTTCATGGATATGCCAAAATAAAAACTATGGAGCTCACTCAGAGTCTTAATGACACAAAACATTTTTGGAAAACTTGTGTTTATGGTACAATCTACTGCTCAGGGTCATCTTCAATTTGGTAAGAAAAGTAAAATAGGAAGATGAAAATTGTAAAGCAGCTAAGGTACTAGAGGGTGCAGCATGGCTATGGAGAATCCTGACTAACCTTTTGCTTTAGAGAAATTTCAGAAGCTTTTAGGAGTCTGAAGGCACATCTACATAATCAACAAGTAATGGGTTGAAAGCAGCGGTTTGGGTTTTTGTTTTTTTTTTCCACTTCTGAGAACACAGAATAGTCTTCCTTAAATGGAGAGCTGCAGAGATGCGAATCTGACCAGTAGCCTGGATTGGTTTGGGCATCGTACCATTCTGAGGATCAGGACAGTGCGCGTTTTCTGACTTTCCATGAAAATTCTTTAGAAGAAAAAAAATACCAAAAATCATTACGAAGAGAAAGAAAGAAAAATATTTATGTTTGAGCTTTAAAAATCAAAAACACTTCACAGTCCAAACAATCTCATTTTAAGGCATTTGCACATTATTTCTCCCTCCCTCCCTTCACCTTTTTTTTTTTTCCCCAGCTTGATCTCTTCACCGTTCAACTTTCACCATAGTGCAGATTAGGAATAAAATGGCTGCCACAAATTGTGATTTTCCTGATTGCTTGCTAGGTCATAATTTAATTGCACTAAAACTCTTTAAATAAATCCACAGTGCTTTCACCGTATGGGAATCCTTTGCAAATCAGATGGTGCACTTTGCAAGAAGACTTTCAAGACTGGCCTGTAGATTTTAATTTCCACTCACATGTAGTCTTCCTTCTTGCACGGCATAGAGCAATATCAGTTTCCAGAGAACTCATTTCAGATTGATCTGTTGATAAAACTGCGAAGTATTTTCATGCCCAAAAGTTAGCACTGGCTTGCATTTAATAGCTTATGTCTCAAGGAATCCAAAGACGTTAAAACTGATGAGCATTAAATAATGATGAGAATAGAAAACCTACCTTATATCGGCAGATAAGGGACATGTGGAGCAAAAATCGTGAAATCAGTTTCCTCTAACGTTCAGCCAATTCTGAACACAAACATAAACTTCGAGTAATTAGTCCATGTGTGTTTGTATAGATTCTGTTCATCTTCAGTCTGAAAATATTTCTATCCTTATGGCAACATAGCCAGAGACTATAAATACAGAACTAGATAGTTACATTTATTCTAATTAATAGGCCATTGGATTTTTCAGGCTCACCAGTTGATGCCATGAACGAAAATAAATCTTTGCCTTTAATAATAGATAAGCACTGATTATGTACTATTGGTCTTGTCAATTTAGTGATAGCCTTGAGGAATTATTTTGCAGGGGGTGTTTGAGTGGACATCCTATTAACTTGTCTTATCTGACAGTGGCTTTTTCTTCTTGTTTATTTATTAAATGTACAGAGTCTGTGGGGCAGGGACTACACTTGCACAGTCCATGGCGTGGTGGAGCCTCCTTTTGGGTTAATTCACAGATTTCCGTAAAAACACCACTCTATATTGTTAATAGGATGGTTTATTTTAGTGCCTACAGCCAATAGGAACATGGTATTTAAAAAAGAGTGGGACAAGGATCAGGCCCCTTAAGTAACACATACAACTTTAAAAACCTGAAAAATAACTGAAGTGATTTGATTACATTTGCTAATGATAGTGCAACGTGCTTCCAGTCTAGAAAATCAACAGGAACAAAAGTGGATATGTTTCCAAATGTTAATTTTATCTCCAGAACTGTTTTTTGTTAATTATGCTAATTAAAAAAGGAAATTGCTGTTACATATGATTATGGCAACATGTGTTTTTATATTAAGCGCTATGCTGTGAAACACGTATGTGTGTGGAAGCGCCCAGTGGGGTGGTTTCCGAATGCGGGCCGTTTGTGTCAAATTCACTGAGTCTGATTATCGAAGTGTGCTTTTACGTTGGGCTCAGGGGTCAGCAAAGCAATGTAAATCCCTAAGAAAGGTGTAGAAAAATACCCTCTTATCAGCAGTGATATGATGCTTACGAGCAGAATTGGCCCAGGGAAAGGAGATGAAATTGGCCCATCAAAATTGCTTGCCCGAATCTCACCCGTCTTCATAGGCTGGCACTAAAATCCTCTGCCTTGCAGCCTGCATCCACTGCTGTTGCAGTGCCTCTGCCTCTGGCCGCTGTGCCTATGGCAGTCCAGCCAGGAGGAACTTGAGGCACTCCCAGACAGGAAATTTGTTGCTCATTTGCTCATTTAATGCAAAAAGCAAATCTGAAATTGATGGACTATGACATCTTCCCCGTGATTTGCTAACCCAGCACTAGTCGGACAGCTTATGATGTTGGTGCCGTGCTATGCCATCCTTTAAAAAGGAGGCCTTGAGCACCCTGAAAGCTGTGCTGGAATCAAAGTCTGAGCTGCTGCTGAGTCTTGTACCTTCAGCAAGAGTGGGTACCTGTTGGAAAAAATTCTGCATTGGAGGCTTCAGTAATTCTTTTTCTATTTCCAGAATTGCCTGCTGGTTGGGAGAAAATTGAGGATCCCGTATATGGTGTCTACTATGTAGAGTAAGTGCTGCTCTGTGGTTCTGGTGTGGCTGTTGGGCAGAGAGAAACTCTTTTTCCTGCGGGAGTCTGGACCCCTGAGCACATCATGCTGAGGAGGAAGAGCAGCAGCCCAGGCCCTTGCGCTGGCATGGAGGTGGCCAAGGGGCTGTGGTGGGAGAGGGCAACCGTCCCCTGCTGTTCTCACCCTCCTGTGGGATCTGCATCTCAGCCTGCTGCCCTTGCACCTGCAGGAGCGTACCTGAGCCCCTCTGGCACAGCCTCACTAGTGAGCTCGGGGGAGGCAGGAGCACCCCAGGGTCGAGGTGAGCTCGGGGGAGGCAGGAGCACCCTGGGGTCGAGGTGAGCTCGGGGGAGGCAGGAGCACCCCCGAGTCGGGGGGAGCGG